CTTTTTGGAAGAGAGTGATAAAGCCCCCTGTTCCAGCTGATTAACTTGTACATACCAGGCCATGATCCAACTGTTCCTCAGCCACCTGTGCAAGTGAAATGAGGCTCTGCTCCTGCACTAATTTAGCTCCTAATATTTTCAGGCTGATAAAAAGCAGACCACTTCATCTAATGGCAATTTTTACATAATCCTTTTTTTTTTTCAAACCAGCCTGCCCACCTTATATTGCATATGAGCCATGGCTGTATTTACTACCACAATGTAAGCAAACACATAAGAAAAATCATGCCCTTGTATTCCCACAGATGAAACTTATATCTGTATTTTAATTCGGAAACAGCTGTGTCTTCATCTAGAGAACAAGTAAGTTCTAATAGATCTTAAGTTCATGTAAACCCTGGGTAATTTAAATTTGTTCTGCGATGAATGTTTACATTTATGATATGATAGAAGTGGTTGGGATTCACACCTGCACAAGTAGCTACCAACACATGGACAAGAGTTCTCACCTTTCCAAACATTCCTGCCTTTGCATGGTTGCAATACCTTTGCATGGTTGTCTGAGCAAAAAGCCATGAAAAAGTAATCCCACAGTGACTGTGAACTCATTCAATCCCTGCATGGTTCAAACACACACAGAAAATGTATACAGCAGTCCCCTTGCTAGTTTTGCTTCCTAAGCTTCAAGTTTATGTTCTGGAAATGTACTCACTTTCCATCATATGAAAAAATCTGGAAAAAATCAGAAGTATGGAGTGAAGTGCTACTTTCATCCTTCATTTCTATATCCTTTAATATAGCAATTAAATTAAAGCAGTTCCAGGCTGACAACCCAAAAGCTATGGGACACTAAAGCCAATTAAATGGCAATCAAGCCTTCAAGTCACAAAGCAGATATGTCAAAGGCCTTGACCTGCTTCTAAGAAGAAAATATTCAGTAACTCTCTATTTATACTGTTTGAAACATAATAAGCATTTTCTCCGAGGAACTTACACAAACAAAACCTTAGCAATTCACTAAGTATTCAAACAAGGTGATTTCAAAAATCAGACAAAACCTAAATATTTATTAATTGCACTGTTGAACCTCAAATGCACATTTTATCTCCCTAAAGCAAATTCTGAAGCTAGCTAATCAATACTCAAGCAAACTACTGATTTGTTCCATAAATATGAATGCACTCACATGCTTTGCAATGCAAGGAAAAAGTGACATTCCCAGAAAATGACTAAGTTCAAATACTACATCTCCTGGCAAGAAAAAGTTTGAAATTCTGCCAGCTGTATGCAGAAGATAACCTAGCATGACTTTGATTTCTAGAGGTAGTAACAGACTGATTTCTTTCCCTGCAACAGATTTAGCCAAACAGTTTTTATGCCAATTTTTCTACTGAAGTAACTGGGGGGGGAAAAAAGCCAAGAACAAAAAAAAAACAAACAAAAAAAAACAAACAAACAAAAAAAAACCATACTCATTTGGCAGAAAAGAGAGAAAGTTTGGAAGAAAGATGATTAAAGAGAAAGTGAAAATTTTAGATACAGATAAAATTATGACTGTATTACCTCAGGGGCTTTTTTTCAATAAGAGATAAGCGTTAAAACTGTCATTCTGCACCTGAATTTGCTGCCTAACAGCTTAAACCTTTACATTTGGCCAAAATAAATGCAAAATGCCACCATTTTAATTTGATGCTATTTGAAAGCCTCACAGATGGAAGTAATTCCACAAAATATAAAGCAATTTGGAAACAAAAGCTGCTGGTTTACATCCCCAAGTGAGCATTCGGGCAGACTCACCCAAACAATGATGCTCAGTTTAACCAAACTACCTGATGAGGAGAGATGCCCTTTCCACCTGAGAAAACTCACCTCCACAAGTATTTTAATCAGTTTTTAAAACAGCAAAAAACCACAAAGCAGGACTTCCTTTGTCAGAAAGAACCTACCCCTCTTCTGGGAAGGTAACCCAGGAAGGAGGGCCAGAGGAAGGAATTCACTTTGGATCCTGCCACAAAGTGGAGAGCTTTGAAATACTTTCAGGTTTGGTCACCCACAGCATATTGTTTCTGCCAATATCTCAGTTTATGCACAGAGGGAAGGCTTTTGCAGCAGCTGGTGAATGCAGCACCTCCTGAGTGCCTGCTGGAGACCCTGCTAAGTTCCTTGCAAAGTAAAGCCCTGAGATCCTTGTCGGCAGGTCTGCACTTTGTGCTTGCCTGGCAATTTTCCAGCTCCCTTCCCACCCACCCTGGAAACCTGCCCAGAGTGTAGGATGCTAGCAAGCATAATTTGGTTTGTGCTGTTTGGCTTTGTTGTCAACAGTTGGGTTTCTACTCTGCCCTGCATCTGGCATGGTTTTACAGGCTCATGCTGCTGCTCACATTTTCTCAGTACCCTCCATGTTAAAGGTGGGAAGGGAAAGAGTATTCTCCTAGATTATCCATGTTTGAAAATTTTTTGTTCTTCTCAGAATGGACATCCTGTCAGAAATCAGTTTTTCTTTTTTCACTGTGGTATTTCCCCTCCCAGGAAAGCAGAGCATCAGGAGGCAATAACCAAGAGAAATCTCCATAGAGAGGATCCATCCTCTGGCCCTTTTGTGGCTCCTTCTTTCCTTCACATGAAAGAAAGAAGGGGGAAAGGTGCAGGAGAGCTGCCCTCTGTGATTTCCTCCTGCAGGCAACTTGCTGGTCCCAGACCAAGCTACAGCCTCCATCCAATCACTGCAGACACCTGCCAGGAGCAAGCAGGGCTTACCATGGTCTGGTACCAAGGCATATGGGCAAAAAAGGTAAAATGCCCAACCCTAATAATAACTGAGAGCAGTAGCTGCTTTGGTTTGGGGGTTTTTTTCTCATCAATTTCACAAGATCTATGTCTGAATTGACTGGACCTTCAAGAAAGCATCATTTACCTATTACCTGGTACCTGAAAGATGTAGAAATGACATGAAGAGCCCACCAAACCCTCTTGCTGCTCACCAAGGTGTCTCACTTCTAGGAAAGAAGGAGCTGATGATTCTCCTGGCAAGCTCAATCTTTCCATGCCCATCTTGGTTATTTTGCCTCAGCCATGCACAAAAACTGTTCTGCCAGTGGCAGGAGTTTTGGGGAAGATCCAACAAAATAGTTTTCACCACAGGACATCCAAACTATACCTCTGTTACCCTCCTTCTGACCTCCTGAATCAAGGAGAGGTTGCTGTCCTGCTGGTCTAGTCTAACAGATACTCTATTGAAACCAAATTCCACATCCTGGCTGGATGTCTTCAGACATCTCCTCATGGCTGCCTGAATTTCTGTTACAGACAGTTTTCCTCCACTCCTTCTTTCTGACATTTTATCAACAATTTCCCCAGCCTTCAGTGGCTTATAGCATCACTTCTGGAAAAAACCAAAAAATTACTTTGTTCAACTGAAGCAATATTTCTGTAAACTATTTATAAATCTGTCTTTGAGTTTAAGTGGCTGTAAATAGCCAGTGCCACGAACACAGCTGTGCCACATCTCAGGCTGAAAATAAGGGTTTTTCTCTAACCAGAGACCTACAGGCAATTTTTTCAGTTTTTTAAGTGCCTTTATTTATGGTAGGCATAAAACCAACCCAGAGCCCCCAAATATTTTTGCCTTGTTGGTGTGTTAAACCATGCCTGATTTGCTGCACACCTCAAATTTCAGTGCAATATGGAGGGATGAGTCAGTAAAATTGATTAACACAAATAAATTAATTAGTCCAAGTAACTGTCTTGTTTTCCTTTGAATTAAAGTAGAAAACAAAGAGAAGTCCATCAAAAGTTCTTTAGGAAAGGCAAAGCACATTCAATCAGTCTTTACAGAAATCAGGTGTAACACAAGTCACACAGCTTTGAAGATTCTTATTTTTTTGTGAAAAACAAAAATTATCATGAGGAAACCACTGTGACTGCTCAGCAAAGCAGTAACTTTCCTCTACCATAAGAAAAAATTTTTTTGGCTTTTAGTGATGAAACAGATCAACTTCAGCACTGAGGTTTTTCACCACCACTGAACATAGCCCAAGCCAACAGGATTTTAATTGTCACAGATCCAGATGGCAGAGGGGCATGAAACAAGTCCCAGGCAGCAAAAAGACACTTCCCCAACTGAAGGTGAGTCTCATCATAAAGCCATATGTGAAGTACCAAAAACACATGGAGCACACCAATAGGGGATCAAGTAGAGCATGATGATTTAGTCTTTTTTTTTACCCCACAAAAGGCACAAGGTGACCCTGCCAGATGCCTTAGGGGGAAATCAGCTGAGAGAACTCATCCTGCCAGCAGCCTGAAGCATCATGGCCATCCCTGAGCTTCCCATGGCCAGCATCAGGTGACAGCTTTCCCTTTCCCACCACAGATGCACAGATGGCTTATTTATCCCTGCAGTATTTGTCGGGAGCTTCCTACCTTGCTCCTACCTCACGTCTGTCTTCCAAATGCTCATTACACTATGACCTCACAGCTGTGCTGAATTCTGTAATGCTATTCTCTGTCAGCACAGGGATTTAACAGAAAATCCAATGTGGATAACCAGAGATATGCAATGTCTGACATGAAAATGGTGCTAAGAGCAGCAATATCTACATTGGGCTGGTGGTGCAGAAGAGGAGAAATTTTTTTTCCACTGAATGTCCATAGGGTCCATCAAGAAAAAGCCACCACATTTTGAGAATTACCAAACTCTACAGCAGGCCCACTCAAAAAGCAAGTCCTTCTCTTGATCCAACAATACCGGGGTTATTTTATCAAGGCAAGGTTTAGCTGGGAGCAGCAGATAAGGTGTGAGAAAGAATTACTCTGATATTCCACAATTCTGCAGCAGGTTTTGCCCACATCTCTAGCAAACCTGGAAGTTTGGAGGTAATTCTCCACATGAAGATAGCTGTCCCTTTTTCACAGTCCCACATGCACAGTTTATTCTTTAATATTTTTGAAAATACCACAGCCTTCATTAGGGGCTGCATTTGGTATCTGGGAGAGCCCTTTTGAGACACAAGGAAGAGTTCATTTGTATTTATCTGAGAGAAAACTGATAGACCAGATCTTTATTAATCAAAGTCAATGAAACTGCATGGTTGAGAATGTGATCCAGTGTTTACAAACATACGTTTTGCAGGCAGACTGTTTTGGTGCAGTTTCTCCTCCAGAAAGGGTATTGCCATACATCTTCATTTATTCTCCTAACGAAATTAACGAGGTATTTAGTTACACAATTTATAGGAAGAAAAGTTAATGGCATTGCATTCTCAGCTTATGTGAAAAGGAAGTGTGGTACTTCAGCAAAACAAATAGAATTCCTCTGCCCACACATAGTAGAGTGCCAAACTAATTAAATAGGCTTATCTCAGATATAGAATTCAGGCTTCATCTTTCAAAATGAGAGGTTTAAAGAGGGAAGAATATTATGGTCTATCAGCTATACAGATATATATAAGTGTCTGAATTAATCTTTGGATGTCTGCCAGAGAAACTGAGAAGGTTCTCATGTCTGTAGAATACAGAGAGTAACCAGAAATGCTTATAATTTGTACTTCATTAACAGGACCTTGTTCAAGTTGTCTGTAAGAGAGAAGACTTTTCTGAGGCAACACAGTTCCAATTTACATTATCAGTCCTAATCCCACAAACTGCATTGTTTTGAATTTAAATATAAGACTTTTTTTTAGATGGCAAATCCCTGATCATCTTTCTTCTACTATGAGAACCAGGAGAAGCATGGTGAGAGTAAATTAAACCCCAAGGAATACATCCCCAATACTGTGTGTTCAGCCAGTGTCACGTAGAACAAAGACCAAGTTCAAAAGCATGCAGAAAACTTACATTAGTAATGAAGTGACAACTTAATAATTATAAAAGGAAAAGATCCTAAGGGAGTTGGGAAGAAACTAAACTGTAAGCAATACACAAATAGTCCTTTTGTCTTTTATTTCCTGGGCCCTCTCTGTAGTGCCTGGTACTGTGTCTTGACAGGAATAAGTTACTGTAAGCCATGGATTCCAGAATTTAATGTGCTGCTGAAATTATTTGAGAGCAAGAGTGAGCCTTTACAACTGCCTAAGATCTGAACAATTCTTAATATCTTTTGCAGTTCCTCAGCTCTTTCATCACTTCTTCAGCAGCCAAACTGCCCACCTGCTGCAGGGATTCAAACTCCTGACTGCTGTGAGCGTGCCTTGTTTGTTGAGGTTTGAGCACCAGGTTTTCATCTTCCCTTGGAAGCTGACAGGAAAACTGGTCAGAAACAGAGGCAAATCCAGGGGTAGTCTTGGAAACATGAATCAGGGAAGAAAACTGCAAAGCTGCTCTTCAATCATCTGGCACAAATTATTGTTTTTTGTGTCAGATCTGGCCAGCACCTTGATGATCTGCAATCAAACAGTCACAACAGTTAAATGTAATGATTTCACAACATTTTCTAGATATATGAAAAACAGGCAGGTGTTATTTAAATGCATTAATTCAGCCACCTTGAGAGTTAAATTGACAAGAAACGGTATGAAGAACTGAATTCCTTATGTTCCTTATGAAACATAAGGAAAGTAACAAGAAATAAAATTTCTTATTGATGTGCAAACAAATCATAGATAAGAAGAAAATAACTGCTTAGACTAGACCTTATCCAAGAGGCTATGCTAAATAAATACATTTAAAGCTTTTAACTCTTTAACAATCAAACTCATATGGGACTTCAGCATACAATGAAGTTTTATGTGGCATCGTCAGAAGAGAGGTGCTCTTTTGCATTTGGTTCATGAGTTACCACACAGAACAAACTGAGATTTCAGAGCTCAAGTAATAGCTTCTGTAACACTATAGATATTTAAAAATCTATGCTGTATATAGTGGAACCTGTAGTTAAATGGGTTTAGAACCAGACAGTACCACCACTGGAATGAAATACCCACTTGCACTCGGGACATCCACCTTTATGTATTGTGAGATAGTAAAGGGTATCAGGGCATGGAAAATAAAAGCTCTCAAAGAGAAAAGTACAGGTACACAAATGTCCACAAGTGGAGGACAAGAACAAAAGGCAGCACCGTACAGCAAAACAAATATCGTCCTAAGAGATACCCTGGGGGAAGATCCATCAAGATGCAAAAATACTCAAGAATAATTTTTAAGTGCCAATTAGTGAGATACCCACTCCTGTAGCAGCATGCATCTAGTTCTAGGTAGCTCATGCAAAATCATCATGGAGTTATGCCCACTGGGAGCAGGTGCTTCAATTAGAGGTTACATTTGTAATGTAATTAAATGCCTAATTTATTAAAAGGAATGCAAATCACCTCAGTTTCTAAGTGGCAGCAGTGACATTTGGAGCACACTACGCAACACCTTTGTTTTAGGAATTAAGCATTGTATGCCCTCAATGACAGCAGCTCCAAAATGGCCTGTTGCTCACTGGTCTCCTGAGAGCCCCAGTGAGCATAAAAAGTGAGAAATGGGATCATAACATTTATGAGAGACAACTTGGACAGTCACAATAAACAGTATTTCATTGAGGTTTTGGAGGTTTTTTAATTTTTCCTTTTTATATCAACAACTCAACACAATTATTTAATTTTTTAAAATATTTTTATACAAAAGCTTTTTATTGGGTTTTTTTAGTATTTCAATGGTTTGCAACCATAGTGGCTTGCCTTAGCTCTGAGAGTAGAGTCACCTCTTTGAGCTGTCATGCCTTTTGTGCCTGTTCTTCAGTAACCCTCTGGTGTGCAATTGAGCATCTGGTTGATGGCTACCATTCCCATTGCAAGACCAATTTCAATGATTTGTTGCAACAGTGAGTCCCATAATGTAACAGGGAAAGATTAGAAACAAGCGGCCCTGCAGAATTGCTAAAATACATAATCATTTGTACTGGTGTTTAACTCATATTCCATATGATCCATTGTTAACAAGAGAGCTGCTTAACCACAGGAAGTTATTTATACATTGGATAGACATGCTGGAAAAAAACACCACCAAAATATCCAATACTATAATGAGACTTACATAAAACAAAAGAATTCCATGTATCTTTTCACAGCATTACTTAAAAATATTGTTCATTTAGTAAGGCTTTTTTTTTAGGTGAGAATATAGGACAATCTCTCACTGGAAAAATTCTGAAACAAAAAAGAAAAACAAGGATCAAGCACTGCAACAGCACCTCTCTCCCCATAGCCCAGGAGCAAAACATGGCAATACCTCCATGCAGTGACACTCCTTCAATCCAGAGCTCCCAAAGTCCCTGGTGAAACAGTTGTCACATCTGATTTTCACCTTTCGTCCTCTTGTTTGGGAGTGAATCCTTCCAGGATTTAAGGTGTGTGGCTCAGTGGCTGCCCACACAGACTCCAGTGAACTCAGCTGGGCTCTGATTTTGTATAGGCAAGTATCTCCCAACTTGCTGCAACGTTAAAGCCAAATTCTGCAGCCTGCGAAACAAAATAAGGACATCTTTCTTAATGCTTTCTGGTCTAATTTTCAGCTTGTTTACCCACCTGTCTTTCCTCACTTGATTGTTATTATATGATTTAATAAGAACACAAATAACCCTCACCAAAACAAAAGTAGATGGAAAGGTGTCCTGGTTAAAATGTTTTCTTCTTTGAACTCAGGTAATCACATCTACTCAAATTCTCATCTCCTGATAAAACATAAATAGTCTATTGAGGCCATGAGAAGAAATTATTTACAGATGCCTTTTTCAAGTGCTTTATTAACTGCCTGCAATGTCTATTGAAATAACATTCTTTCCTCTAAATTTGTAAAGGCACAGAGGCCTGATACAGGAGGCTGGTGATTTTGGCTGATTATCATTTGATTATTTGGGATTTTAAGAACATATGTGATAAAGATCATTATACTTTTGTGTATACATTTGTCTGCTTATACATGACAGTATTTTCTTTGCCTATTTTGGTGTATTTCCAATACAATATTCTTCAGAGAGATAATATTTTCACCACTTTTTTATGTGTGGTATTTCAAGTAGTTACTTGTAAACAGCCACTCTGCACCATAATGTTGAGATCTAACCAGACAATCAGAAAACCAATGTGAAAAAATAGGGATCCTTCATACCTAACATCCATCTGTACATTGAGTTTAGACTAAGGAACTTTTAATACTTGTTTATTTCAAATGCATTTTTCTTTGTCTCTTACCTCAGCCCAGGAAAAGCCCTAGAAGTCAATTTAATTCAAAATTATGAATAGAAGTTTGCTCTAGAAAACAAGCAAATGTGGAGCTCTGTCAGACCTCTGGCTGGTGCCGCACTGGTCCCATAGAGTAGTGTCCATGAATATTTCTCAACTCTTTTTACCTTAGTTAGGATGTTGCTACCACAATGCACAATTTTACTGCTTTAAGAATTTCTTAACTTCTACATGGTAAGGTTCTTTTTTTTCCTACCCATAAAACACTTAGAGAGTTTTATACCATCTGTGCAGAAAAACCTAGGCAGGTCACCTGTTGGCTTCCAGATGGAATATAAATATTTGGCTTGGGATATTGCAGTTTTAAATAAAACTGCAGCGGCATACTACCACTGAACTATTCCTCTTTATTTACTGACCTGGCATCAACCTTGGAAAACAGCTCTTCTTCTGTGCTGATAAAACCCAAGCAAGTTGTTTCAAATTATTTCATATGTTCATGCACCTTGCACAGACAGGGCTTTTAATTTGTCAAATATAATTGAGTTTGCATTGAATAAACATAAGAAATATGTGAAGAATTTATGAACAAGAAGGAAACAAAGAATAGATTGTTCTTAAGGGGAATGGCCACTTTCTCACTGCAAACTCATATTTCTGTCAAGGGCATAAAAAATCTGTTTTCAGGCAAATTTTCAAGTCTATGCAAATCACATATACTAGCCTAAACAGCTACTTAAGTAAATAAAATCTGCTAAACATTTTAGACAATCATTATGGGAGGTTTACCTGTATGCACAAACATGAAGACATCATCTGCTCTAACAGGATAAAACCAGGCTGTCCCCATGGCATAACCAGGTCGGAAAATGGACTGATAGCAATACAAGATACTGCATACTATGACACTGGGAATTTTCAAAGTAATGAATTTTTCCATAAGCAAGAGAAAAAGTCAACACATATAAGAGCTACTAGTACTGTCTATGTATTTACAAATTCTTCTGCAGCATTTACCAGTTACAGTTAAATGGACAGTAACTTCTGCAGCAAAAGAGTCAGATAGCAAATAAAAGCACTAAAACAACTCCTAAAAAAAACCCAAAAGAAACAATACAAGGCTTGCCACAAACTTGTTTAATTCTTTGCTGGCATGTACCTCACCCCAATTAGAAACATTCCACAAAAACGGGAACAATATAATTTGGTTAGCCAAGACTCTGGTGCAAGGGGTGGATGCTCTGCCTGCCAGCAAGCTGCAGCCCCAACCTCTGCTTTGTCTTGTCTTTCAGTCAGAGAATGGACTCCCCTTCCAGCCATGGGGTCTTATAAGGTTACATTCCCTCCATGATTAATAACCCTGTGACTTCTTTAGCTCCTAGAAGTACGAATTACACCTTTACCATAACATCCCTAATGAAAAGGAAAATGAGCTGTCTGAAAAGTAGGACACAGAGCCAGGAAATTAAGAAAATGAGATAGCAACTTATTTCCAAGAGCTGCTGAAAGCACTGCCAGGAGCAAAAGTTATTCTCTCTCCCTAAGAGATTGTTACCAATCCTTCATGGTGGTTGATGGTCACCTAGGAATGGTCACTTCTCCTGTCTTAACCATCTCAATGAATTATTCATCTCATTCCCTAAATAGGGCCTGTAAATTTTCTTCCTTCCACATGAATAGCATTGTAATATTTAGAAATTGTCTCTTTGGAAATGTGTCTGGTCAAAGTTTTCCTGAGCTTCACTGGAATATCAACATTAAATAATAATAGTGAAACTTTTGCTGCCAGGAGTCTGTTATCTCTGCTCAAACAGCACAGCCTGAAGCAGATCCCATCAACTGTTATGATGCTGGTAATATACCAAACACAGTCATTCCACGTTTAAGGGATCCAAAAGAACAGAAATTGCCTTCATTCATTTGTACTATGAAATTTAAAGAATGCTTCTTTTTTCTGTTTCAGTGGTATCTTTGGACTTGACATCAGTCAAGAAACTGTGACTCCAAAGAGAAAATGACTGAGACAGAGTATTTCTCCACTACCCTCTAACTTTAAATGACAGGTGCAGATATGTCTCAAGAGACTGACAGTTTTCTTATTGTGCTTTGCATTTGAAAGGCATGTGGGGGTTTTATTTCAGAATATTTTTATTTCTTCTCTTGCTGTGTCAGTGGCCAAGTTTGAAAGTCAAGCCTTGTAAATCACACAATTCCTGGAAATGAGTTTCAGACCTCTGAATGCTGACTCACTGGCAGTTAAGTGCTTTTTCATAAGTAGCTCAGTAACTTTCAGAGCCAGGATTTTCAGAAACAACCTTCTGTACTACAGACTGTTGGCAGGTAAAATTATGTGCCAGTTTAAGGTTGAATAGAGGACTTTTTATTACCTGTCTCAATTGCATTCGCTGCCCTGATTAATTAAATGGCCAGAAATATGGGCAGTGTATGCCCTGCTTGTAAAGGCTGGCTACATACTTAATAGAAAGCATTCTAAAGCAGCTCATCCAATATTCCCACTTCCAGCACAGATTAAGAGGGTTACATACAGCCCCCAAAAACTGCTCACCTGATCTCTGCTGCTGTGGTACTAACCACCAAAAAGCATGGAAGAACTGCCAAGACTGTTCATGCACACAAACAGTGGCTAAGGCATCCTAGTGGATGGAGGGTGACCTTCTTGAGAGCAATCTGGGAGGCGAGGTGTGTAAATCTCATGGCTTTAGCTGCTGGTGATTGCCTTCCCTTGGCTTACACGTGTAAGTTACACCTTAGGGTGAAAGCCCTTTAATGAGGAGGAGGGGCTTATCCCACTCAACACTTGAATTACTCAGGGAGTTCAAGGAGATGCTCAAGAAGCCACAGCAACAGAGTTCTTTTGGTTATGCACTGATCCCAAGTCCCTCTGTTTGCCCTGCAGCCCTCAGCTGTGGGAAGGTGGGTGTCATTTGACATGGGCACAGTGATCTGCTGGTTTCTGAGAGATTCTGGTGTGGCAGCTGTTTCTAGAAGCTGCCAAGGACACTGGTGCTGCACATCAAAGAGGTTCAGCGCATGTTCCACTGCTGAAAGGCTAAGTGCCACTAGATGGGTTTTCATGTTTGTACTGGCCTTTCTCTTCTTTAAGTATTTCTGCAATGAGGAAAAAGTCTGTCTGAAGCTGCACTGGGTGATGACCATGCTCATGACTGAGAATGACAACCTCTTCCACCTGGAATGCCTTCTCCAAGTCTGCAGCCACTCTTGGGCTTTCACCCTGAGGAGCAGTGAAAGGAAGGGACTCCTGCAGGATGCTGGCTATTCTGACAAAATACAGCTAATACTCCTGTGTGCTAAGCTGACAAATTTTTTGCTACCTCTTTCCCCACCATCACTTTAAGAAACCTATCCCTGCCCGTGCCAAGACACTTGTTTTGTCCATTTAGGAAGAATATTTCCCTTTTTCAAGAAACTGGTCTAATCAAAGTGGTAGCTCACATCATGACTTTTCAGCCAGTGACTCACAAAGGCAAAAACCTGAAGAGCTGAACATGCAGAAGGGTACAGGTGACCTTTAGCTTTGCTCTTTCTGGCTGGATCACGTTGTTGTGCCTGAGCTGAGCTGACTCAGATGTTGCAATCTCTCACACTCTCTTTATACTCCTTACAAATCACAGTACTGACAGTGAAGAAAAAGAGATGGTGACAACTGACCAGAGGTCTGGAAATAATTATTTCATTACCCTGCAATCCATAGCTTCATATTCCTCAGGCTGGGAATATCCTGATATCAGATATCCTATATTATAGGAATAATCTTGTTATTATTGGATTTTTTATTATATATCCTATCCTATTATATAGTGTTACAAGAACCATATTATACATGATATCCTATAATGTTGGATCTTTTCACTTCAAGAAAATACCTCACTGCTTCCAGATTCTTTTCCTGGACTCCTTGGAGTGCCATAGGACCTTCAAATTGCCATACACAAGGGACACACGTGGTCCTTCCTGGCAGCCTCCAGGTGAGCCTCACCCCTGAGAATTCCCATTTTCCTGGGCTTCGGGAAGGTTTTTCCCAGACAGCCCCTTCTGTGAGAAATCCTGACTCAAGAGGAATGAAACAGTTTGGGCATTTGGATTAGATGAAACGATTAGTTTCAGTTCCCACCATTTACTTTTGAAATTATTCTATCATGCAGTTATACTAAGAAATAATAACAAGAATTTCCCCAAAATAAATCAAAACTTTTTTTTCCAGGGGAACTAAACTTTTACTTGGCTCC